TAAGTCATTTTTTTTGAATAAATTTATTCATTTCTTAAAAAAAAAAAAAAAAACAGTACATGATTTTGGCCATTGCTGATATTCTAATATCTTTGAAACCATTAAAATAAAATGATAAGTCAGCAAGAACTATCCTGAAGTACTGGGTGGAAAGTCTTTGATATGGATGATTTATTAATACTATGTCAATGCATCAGATATTTCTTAAATAAGTGCAGCCGTGTGATTTATGACAGAATAACACTAGAATAATATGTTTATGAAACGTTTTTTTTGTCAAAGTGAAGCCAATATGTTTGATATGGCATTACATGAGCTAACAGACATGCACAATACCGGGGAGGGGCGAGGGTGGTCTCCAGGAACTCTTCGATCTTAATGAAGTCGGTCTTCAGCGTGCCATTGTACAGGAGGAAAGGAGGGTTGGTACCTGGAGCTAAGTCTTTTAGCTCTTCTGGCTTCCTAAACAACACAGGGTGGAGCAAAGGAGAAGGAGTGTAAACCACAGGGTGTGGACATGGTCAATATGAAGTCAGGTATTGTACAAGGAGAGTCTTTGAATGAGACCTAAAGTGATTAATGCTTCTTTAAAACAATATTAAACTCAGTTTAATCTCTCAAAGCACACGGATATGGGAGTGTCCGGTTGGTAAATGGGTGAAAGCTGCATTTGGTTAAGAAGATTTAGATGAGAACAGTGCAATGGGAAAGTTCACACTGCCTTGATCATGTTTGTAGTACTTTGAGCGCCCCCCCAGTGTTATCAAATTCAGTCCGGTGCTGGCCCACAGTTCCTCAGATTTCGCTATTTGTCTACTGAATTCCATTCAATTAGATAGCCTTATCGTCATGTTTCCGAGATATGAAAGCTCAATTTGACACTCACTTCCTCATGTCAACAGTGGTTACTGTGAACTTCACTCCTTTCAGCCAAAGAACCATGAAGAGTCTCTGGCAGAAGGGACAGTTCCCCACATTCTCTCCATCATGACCCGCCTTGAGACGAAAAAAAGAGAAATCCATGGTCAGTATCACATACGCACAGACTAGACACTAGGTCACATACAGAAGGTCACATATAGGTCACATATAGAAGCACACACTGTAGATTTCCTTAACCCTCATGTTCTGTTTAGATTTACCGTACTGTTTTTTTATGTTTGAGGTCCCAGAGACCCTGTATGTATAAAATAATTAATGGCACATTTGACTTTCTTTCTTCTGTGGAACATAAAAAAAGATGTTAGTGTACAAGAATAATGCATCAGTGTCAATAAACTTAAAGTCAATGGGGTTCAGTGTTGTTTCAGTGTTCTTCAGATTCTGGAAAGACATGAGGGTGAGCATGATGACAGAATGTTCATTTTTTTGGTGAATTATCCCTTCAATCAAATCCCAATAGAGGAAGATAAAAAAGAAGTACATCAAAGTATTACTATGTTTGCATGCACAGCCACCTATTGCTAGAAAGCTGCTTAAGACGCAAAATGGCATTTGTCTTTATATACGCTATTACTCTCTAGTATACACTCGGTATACTAATATAAGTTTGCGGTTGGTACTTTTTTTAATGTTTTGGAAAGAATGATCTTATACTCATCAAGGCTGCATTTATGTAATGGAAAAACAGTAATAATGTGAAATATCATTACAGTTACTAATATCACTATTACTCTAGTCTTCACTGTCACATAATCCTTCAGAAATCATTTGAATATGTTGATTTGGTGCTAAAGAAACTTTTATTATTTTTATCAATGCTGAAAACAGTTGCGCTGCTTCGTATTTTTGTAGAAGCTGTGATCTTTTTTCAGGATTCTTTGATGAAAATAACAGCATTTAAGGTCACATATAGAAGCACACACTGTAGATTTCCTTAACCCTCATGTTCTGTTTAGATTTACCGTACTGTTTTTTTATGTTTGAGGTCCCAGAGACCCTGTATGTATAAAATAATTAATGGCACATTTGACTTTCTTTCTTCTGTGGAACATAAAAAAAGATGTTAGTGTACAAGAATAATGCATCAGTGTCAATAAACTTAAAGTCAATGGGGTTCAGTGTTGTTTCAGTGTTCTTCAGATTCTGGAAAGACATGAGGGTGAGCATGATGACAGAATGTTCATTTTTTTGGTGAATTATCCCTTCAATCAAATCCCAATAGAGGAAGATAAAAAAGAAGTACATCAAAGTATTACTATGTTTGCATGCACAGCCACCTATTGCTAGAAAGCTGCTTAAGACGCAAAATGGCATTTGTCTTTATATACGCTATTACTCTCTAGTATACACTCGGTATACTAATATAAGTTTGCGGTTGGTACTTTTTTTAATGTTTTGGAAAGAATGATCTTATACTCATCAAGGCTGCATTTATGTAATGGAAAAACAGTAATAATGTGAAATATCATTACAGTTACTAATATCACTATTACTCTAGTCTTCACTGTCACATAATCCTTCAGAAATCATTTTAATATGTTGATTTGGTGCTAAAGAAACTTTTATTATTTTTATCAATGCTGAAAACAGTTGCGTTGCTTCGTATTTTTGTAGAAGCTGTGATCTTTTTTCAGGGTTCTTTGATGAAAATAACAGCATTTAACATTATAAATGTTTTTACAGTCACTTTTAATCAGTTTAATACATCCTGTCTGAATAAAAGTATTATTTTTTTGACTAACCCCAAACTTTTAAACAGTACTGTATATAAGTGTTTTGCTTTCTCCACAACTTTCCATTTCTTTAGTTGTAGGTTTTATCCACGCTTATGTGTACTCTTCAAAAACATGTTAGAATGCCTTGCATGCATTTACATGACAGAAATCCAGGTATTAAACTGAGAAAGGTGTGTTATACTGAGAAAAAAACAAATCTGTAGAAAAACAGAAAAGGTACTGGCAGGCACTGGTTTTCTGCCAGGATATTATATCCGGACATTACGTTTACGGACATTTCCTTTAACCCTAAAACACAACACAATGCAATTCATAATTTAAAATACTCATAAAACACCTGTGAAAAATCAATACAGAAAATTCCTTCATATTAACACAGTACATTGGGTCATATTTTTGGGCCCTTTTTTTTAGAATGTAGCATAAGAAAACAGCATTTGTGTTTACATGATGTTTCAGACTGCTGCTCTTTTGAAAAAGCCATTTTCTTAAGTGTACATGAACATAGTCAGTAGATATTTAAACACCATTGGGGTCTCTGAGACCCCCAGCAGTGTTATTATTGACTAAATGTGACCCTCTCTACAAAAAGAATAGGACAGAAATAGCACATGTATTTTGTGGGTGTGGGTGGACAATTCAAGAGCTTGATCCAAATAGAGGAAAAGCAGGAATTGTCTAGAAGAGGGAGATAACAGATCTGAACAATGCTTCTATCACCCATGATGCACATCTTTTCAAATTAGAACATTATAATTATAAATAACTTGGTGACCATCTTCAAAGCTTTGATGGTCTTTGGGATCTAAAGGTCACCACTCATCCATATCCTACTCATTTAGTTCATGAACTGTAGCTAAACTGGTAAAGCATGTTAATGGGATCTACAGAATAGGAAATGTAAGAATGTTTATGGGTGTGACGACAGGGAGCCAAGAGCTGTCAGTCTTTCTCTCTGTGTGTGTGTGTGTGTGTGTGTGTGTGTTGATAAGATGACCTCAGTCCTGTCTGTGTGTCTGTTCTGATAAAGAGCAGCGTAAGAGTGAACAGTTATATATCAAACATACTATCCAATTTTCAGTAGTACGTGTTAACTAAGTTGACTGTGATGCTCATCTCAACCTTTGATTCATGGTGCCCAAATGAAGACCTTCCCTAACGGAAAGCACTGATAGAGTGTAAATCCACCATTAATCCACTTTTGCCAACTGGCTCAAGAAGTCACAAGCCGTGTTTTTTAGTCCATAAGAGTGTGAAGTACTTTTTTCCCCCGTCAGTCAGAAATAAATTACACTGATATAATAGGTTGACAGTAAGAGGCGAGCTGTACATAAACTATTTTATTAACCACAACAATTCAATCAAAAGTTAGTATAATTCAGTGAGTTTAACATGACTATTCCAACCATAAGGATTACATAATAATGGACCTAATCACAGTTTACATGTGCTCTGTTGACACCATGACACGTCCCCACTTCAATATTCAGATTAGTAGATTATTTCAATGGTTGATTTTAAAGTTATTATTATTAATAATAAATTACATTTATTTTTAAAATATAATTTAAATATATTATAGATATTATTTTTAAATGTATATTTAATATAATTTGACTTTGAATATTATTTTAATTTGGAATAAGAGTATCCGACCAACTAAAACTTAAAAGTTAAACAACTTACTTTTATGAAGAGCTCGATTCGTGGTTCTTTATCGGAGTCTTGTCTGAGTGCCATTTTTTTTTTTCAGCAGGAAAAAGATTTTAGTCAGTCCAGACCTCTGTGAAAAGTATTCCACAAATTAACCAGAGAGTTGAAGATCCCCAAAAGATTCGCAAGCAGCTGTAATGTGTGAAAGTTATTCAGACTCTTGCTTTCTGCTGTCTCCCTCAGGCAACAGACTTTAAAAGTCAGGAGGGAGGGAGGCTAGAGAGGATGGGCGTAACCCCAACTATATAACTCTGCTGCCAGAATGTGACAGAGAGCTCAAAAATAGCTTTTCATTTTTTCCAGCATGCATTTACACTCAGGAGAAATGTCACAGTGCTATCACAGAAAAGTGCATTTGTATATATATATATATATACACACATACACATATAAATGCACTTTTCTGGTAGTAGTAGGGTAGGGTATGTGGTAGGATTAGTCTATAGTATGTGTATAGTTGATATAAAACATCAGATGTTTATTGTTAAGATACACACACAGTTGTGTGTTAATGGACAAATGAGGGTTTGGGTATGTGATCATTCTCAAGGGATTGGTTCTTTTTAAACAAATAGGTACTTCCCCTCATTCCCTGTGCAGTCCTCTTGAGTCACAGATGCGGTTTGAGTCAGGGAAACAATTCTGTCATCTCATGGCTTCCCTTCATAACTGCGCATATTAACATGGAAACACTCTTAGAATAACTTACACCATAAAGTTAATCTCTTACACCAACTTAGACAATAAAATTCATCCTGTACAACAATGCTATATAAAACAGAATTTATAGTGACAATGTCATTCTTAAAAAAAAAAAAAACGGTTCCATATTTCATCCTCTTAAAAAAACACTAATGGGCAAGAGTTTCATTTCCTCATTCAGCACACAGATGCTGTTTTAAGGGTATTTATTGCATCATTTTGGGGAAATCACAATAGTTTGAAACAGTATTACCATAAAAGCAGACACCTCACTACTATATGAAAAAGAACTGTCCCTTTAAGTATAAAGAGGCCATTGATCATACTATACTGTATACAAAACAAGAGCCTGACATGGAAACTCTTAACAAATCCTGGAAATTAAGTGAGTTTCACTTCGGCCAGCACAGGAAATGAGCCGTGCCAGTTTACCCATGTACTCCCTCCTCCTGGAGCCAACAGGATACTGTGAGTAACAGATCTGAGCTGATAGCTGTTTAGTCCATGCTAGCTTCTCATTCCCGTTATATTGCTCCACCGCAAAGAATATACCAGCAAACAAGAAATCACCATGGAGATGATGAGCTGTAAGGATGCAAGACTAAGCCTCTAATCTGAAGTCATCGTTGCAATCACTAAGCAAACATGTCAAAGGTCAGCACCTTATTGTACAGCATTTAATTCACAAACATTCCTATCAGGCACTAGACCAATCTCATATGTGGGGGTGGAAATTTCTTTTTTCTTTTTGATTGGGGAGGGTGTTTGTATTGATTGATTGCTGAGAAAGCTAAGATGCACTTTATAGATAGTCTTACATGTTTTCTGTCTTCTGCTTAATAGGCAGCACATGTTTAGATAACGTACCGTCCTTATAGAGAAAGCAGACTGACACAAGACTCATATTTTCATCTAGATGTATTTAGTTGCTATGGCAACAGAGTTGTTTTTTTCTAGTGTTTCTGGAATACAGAAATGTGATGCACTCACTAACCACTGACCTCTCTTCTCCAGGCTGAGAGAGGAAGCACTTATACCCTGCGATGATAGGCTATCTACAGGACACCCAGCAGCTGCGAACACACAGCTTGGAAAATCCTTGCTTTATCTCCTGAAACAGGACCCCAAATGTTGATCATGAGGGCCCACTGCAAAGGAAACAAAATAGTCAAGCTCAGCAAAGATCATTTCTTGTTTTGAGTTTTTTTCTTGGAGAGAAATCTGAAAATGGAGAGAATAGCATGATAAAAATGCAAACAAAAATGAAAAATAAATAAATCTCCTTAAAACAAGACCCACTCAAAAAACAAAAGTGTGTAAAATAATGATATTTTCAGAGAATACCTATTTTATGTACATTGATCTTCAAAAGTTTGGGTCACTTTCAACTGAATGCATCCTTGCTGAAAAATATTAATTTCTTTAAAAAAAAAAACTGTTATGTTATACGGTATAGGTTTATTTTTCTTACCCCACCAGCAAATGTGTTTTGTTTTAAGTATATAATTTTATGTGATAAATGCTTAAAACAAGAAAATGAAAAGTCAAACATTTATATTCAATTAAATTATATTTCAAAAAGTATTTGTACTATGTATAATATAAACGTATTATATTAGAAATAAATACATTTTAAGATATAAAGTCGTGGCCTAATGGTTAGAGAGTCGGACTCGTAACCCAAAAGGCTGCGGGTTCGAGTCTCGTACCGGCAGGGATTGTAGGTGGGGGGAGTGAATGTACAGCACTCTCTCCCACCTTCAATACCACGACTGAGGTGCACTTGAGCAAGGCACCGAACCCCCAACTGCTCCCTGGGCGTCGCAGCAAAAATGGCTGCCCACTGCTCCGGGTGTGTGTTCACTGCTGTGTGTGTGTGCACTTTGGATGGGATAAATGCAGAGCACTAATTCTGAGTATGGGTCACCATACTTGGCCACATGTCACGTCACATATAGTAAAACGTTTGAAATCAATTTATATGAAAGCTATATATGAAAACAAGTCTTAATATCTTACACTATTGTTCTTTTCAGGTTAATTTAACTTATAACAGATATTTTTACTTATAATTAAGACTAGAATTCTGATTCAGACTGATCATTACTGAATACTGATCTGTGCTGTACTTTTGACTGGAAACTAAATTTATTATCATCAGGGTGGCTGCTTACTAAAAACAGATGTGTGAACTTTGTCACCTCAAAAAACCCTTTTGATAAATAAATGGAAAACAAGCATGAAAACCGTCTAATTAGTGCAGTGACACAAATGTATGTCAGTGTCAATGCTGTTGAAAGAGCTCTTGTTCTCCGCTCAACACAATGCCACCATTGACCCCTTTCTCCTGGTCAGAAGTCAGAGGGCTGTAAACAGCCAAACAACTTCTCCTAGTTAAAAATCACGGTGCTTCGTAATGTGCGTTGTGCACTATGTCTCCATGGAGCTCTTGTTGGTCCTGGTATTTCCTCTCCATCGCCCTAGCTGTCAACACACGGCAAACCTCGTCAGCTCCAGATTTCTCTGGTGAGTGTTTTTCTCTGATTTTGTGGCTGTGATAGAGGAAATCCAGCATGCTGTCTTGGAGCAAACCTCCCAAAGGAAAGAAAACATTCTGTATTTTGTCTTTCAAACAATCCTTGCCAACAATCTGTAGTGTATCAGCTTAAAAGAGACGGGTGTTAGAGTCACAGAACTGTCCCATCCTGTGTTTATGTGTTATAGTACCATAAAAGTCAGCATTTAAGTGTCCCTGACAAATGTTAGCTTCTTAATTCTTCTGTTCTGTAGTGGCTTCAAGTAATAATAAGCCAAGAATAGCTCATTGTGTTTATTTGTGAGTGTGTCTGTGCCTGGCACTGCATAACAGAGGGCTCTACAGATGCAGAATGGCCTAACCCGAGAGAGAGAGAGAGGTACAGGCCAACCATTACAATTGCCATTGATCCAGTTACGTCTCTTTGAATAATCATGGATATGGTCCGGTGAAGGAACGGAGCCATGCTTGTTTAAAACATAACAGTCTAGAAACCTGAGCTGCGTGGAAAAGTGGAGGATAAGAAAGAGAAAACTGCTTCTAGGGAAGGAAATGCTCTGCAGTATGTTCTCCAAGATTTAAATCCCAAGTCTGCCGTATACAGTGAAAAGGAAGACCTCTTTCAAATCCTGTTGGGGTCATTTCCTCTGACTACATGGCTGTCTTTGACCCCTGCCTCTCTTTCAGTGCAATTTTCTGACAAAGTTTTTTGGATGTGAAAGATGAAGAATTCCTAATACCATTTTTAAAGGAAACGTATCAATAGCAGCTTAATTTAGATTTAAACAATTATTTTTTTTAAACTATTGATAAAATTATTTTGTGATTGACTATAGATCTTTTTAGTCTAATCCCCCCAAAAAAGTATTAATAAAATGATGCATAATGTATTAATAATACAAATAAATGCATAGGCTTACCAATATTTTTGTTTTATTATTATTATTTATTTATTTAATTTTATTTACCATTTTCAGAATCAGAATCAGAATCAGAATGAGCTTTATTGCCAGGTATGTTTACACATACGAGGAATTTGTTTTCGTGACAGAAGCTTCCACAGTGTAACAGAATGACAGTGACAGAACAAAAAACACAGATAATAAAAAATAGAACAAGTAAATAGACAGGACAAACTAACAAAAACATAAAAACAACTGCGGAGCACGCCACGGAGGCAGCCATCAGCGTCGGCGCCATCTTTTCCCCTCCCAAATCACTGAAATTTCTTATTAATAATTTGTAATAACAAATTTGCATTATTATTATTTTGCATTAATTTTGTTATTTGCCATTTTCTCCTTCAAAATCACTGAAATCTATTCTTAATTTTTTTAAATAAAACATTACATAGGCCCACCAAAATGCAAAACAATTAAGAATTTTCATTTATGTTTTCATTTTCTTTTCTTTTTTTTTCTCTGTTCTTTTCTTTTATTCTTTTTATTTTTGCAATGTTCTCCTCCTAGGTTCCAACCCAGTTGTAAATCTCAATTATTGTATTACTGTATTTGTAAGATTAAAACAGCAGTTGTGGTAGAAACTGAGAAGAGCTTTCTGCATCACAAAGTTTTAATGTCAGCCACACCTGACAAGATTAGATTAGTGAGGGAGGGAGTTGGCTTGCCCATTGTCATTCTGCTGGATTTGCACTACAACAGGCTGTACATTAGTTGTGGTCTACAATGCTGTTTTCTAAAAGCATTCACAATGCCTTGTTTGTATGCTGAGCCGTGACATAGGCCTTTATCTCTGCAACAGTGATGCTCAGATGATACTCTCCTTTTAGATTACCTCCACAGAATCCTTAAGAACCACACTGCCCATGCGTGTGATGGAGAGACGCTGTCCATCAGATGCCCCCCCAGAACATCTGTGGCTGTTCTCTCAGCATTTTATGGACGCCGTATTCCAGTTCCATATCTATGCCCACACACAAACCCAAACATGACATGGGAAAACACAGACTGTATATCAACGACAGCCATTCAGGTGTCTTTGATCTGCATTTAATCATTCTTTAATTCTAGAGATAAAAAATCTCTAGAACTCATAATAATTAATGAATTTCAGTCAGAATGTGTGTTTTTTATGTCTAGAAAGTGATGTCTGAGTGCCAGGACCGACGGGAGTGTCAGATTCCTGTGGTGAGTCCTGTGTTTGGTCAAGATCCCTGCCCTGAAACCAGCAAATACATCATTGTCTCCTACAAGTGCAAGCCTGGTGAGACACCTTTATTTGTGCTTCAGCGATATTTTGTAACCGAACAGGACATCTATATCTACATTACATGCACCCAAATAATCAAATTGATGGCGCAGTAGGATTGAAAAGGCCTCAGTCAATCCGTTGGAGCTTGATCCAAATGAATTTCGATCTGATTGAAAGTAATGGTGTAGACCTGAAATGGTCTGATCAGTAGGCACAAAATAAGCATGTAAACACTTGAATCGGACTATATTTTCAAAATATCTTGCGTTTTTCACACACCTAATGAGTTTTCCATCTCCACAGAGCATCATCGCTCGAGAACGGTTTATGAGAATGAGCGGCTGAAGCTGGCCTGTAAGAATGACACGGTTTTGGCCATCTATTCAGCCACGTTTGGCCACCTGGAGCATGACAGCCTTGAGTGCCCTCAAGAGGCTAAAACAAAACCATACATAGGTCTGAGACTGAAATAACACACTTCTCCCATCTAGTGGGAAGGGTTTGCTACAACAGCAGAGGCACCAAATTATGTGTTCAAATCCTTTTTTGTTTTCATTGTACAAAGTAGAACAGAGATCATCAGACATGTTTAAAAACAGTCATTCATTTAATGAGATTATGTTTAAATGCTTGTTTCCTGTTAGAGTGCTTGTCTCTGTCAGCCTTGAGGAGAGTGTCAAGGAAGTGTCATGGCAGGACAAACTGCTCTGTGCTGGCTGATGCTCAGGGATTTGGAGACCCCTGTTTCCCTGGGACCAAGAAGCACTTGCGAGTCTCCTTCACTTGTGGTATGTTTCAATAGGTTAAGGAAAACGTCTCAGGTTACTTATGTAACCATGGTTCCCTGAGTAGGGAACGAGACACTGCGTCCTCTAGGTTTTCTCGCCATGCTGCGGACGCAAGCTTCAGACGAAGAAGTGAATGATGTGTGCTCCCGGCGCTTATTTATACTATAGTCGCACCGGTAGTGACGTCATGGCTGTCGCCGGCCAACGAGTTGGTGTTTTTCAATGTATGCTTCAGACACGGGTCACGACGAGGCGTTCCCCATAGCGACCCCTAGAGGACGCAGTTCGAAGTTCCCATGAAAGGGAACGTCTCAGGTTACTTATGTAACCATGGTTCCCTGAGTAGGGAACGAGACACTGCGTCCTCTAGGTTTTCTCGCCATGCTGCGGACGCAAGCTTCAGACGAAGAAGTGAATGATGTGTGCTCCCGGCGCTTATTTATACTATAGTCGCACCGGTAGTGACGTCATGGCTGTCGCCGGCCAACGAGTTGGTGTTTTTCAATGTATGCTTCAGACACGGGTCACGACGAGGCGTTCCCCATAGCGACCCCTAGAGGACGCAGTTCGAAGTTCCCATGAAAGGGAACGTCTCAGGTTACTTATGTAACCATGGTTCCCTGAGTAGGGAACGAGACACTGCGTCCTCTAGGTTTTCTCGCCATGCTGCGGACGCAAGCTTCAGACGAAGAAGTGAATGATGTGTGCTCCCGGCGCTTATTTATACTATAGTCGCACCGGTAGTGACGTCATGGCTGTCGCCGGCCAACGAGTTGGTGTTTTTCAATGTATGCTTCAGACACGGGTCACGACGAGGCGTTCCCCATAGCGACCCCTAGAGGACGCAGTTCGAAGTTCCCATGAAAGGGAACGTCTCAGGTTACTTATGTAACCATGGTTCCCTGAGTAGGGAACGAGACACTGCGTCCTCTAGGTTTTCTCGCCATGCTGCGGACGCAAGCTTCAGACGAAGAAGTGAATGATGTGTGCTCCCGGCGCTTATTTATACTATAGTCGCACCGGTAGTGACGTCATGGCTGTCGCCGGCCAACGAGTTGGTGTTTTTCAATGTATGCTTCAGACACGGGTCACGACGAGGCGTTCCCCATAGCGACCCCTAGAGGACGCAGTTCGAAGTTCCCATGAAAGGGAACGTCTCAGGTTACTTATGTAACCATGGTTCCCTGAGTAGGGAACGAGACACTGCGTCCTCTAGGTTTTCTCGCCATGCTGCGGACGCAAGCTTCAGACGAAGAAGTGAATGATGTGTGCTCCCGGCGCTTATTTATACTATAGTCGCACCGGTAGTGACGTCATGGCTGTCGCCGGCCAACGAGTTGGTGTTTTTCAATGTATGCTTCAGACACGGGTCACGACGAGGCGTTCCCCATAGCGACCCCTAGAGGACGCAGTTCGAAGTTCCCATGAAAGGGAACGTCTCAGGTTACTTATGTAACCATGGTTCCCTGAGTAGGGAACGAGACACTGCGTCCTCTAGGTTTTCTCGCCATGCTGCGGACGCAAGCTTCAGACGAAGAAGTGAATGATGTGTGCTCCCGGCGCTTATTTATACTATAGTCGCACCGGTAGTGACGTCATGGCTGTCGCCGGCCAACGAGTTGGTGTTTTTCAATGTATGCTTCAGACACGGGTCACGACGAGGCGTTCCCCATAGCGACCCCTAGAGGACGCAGTTCGAAGTTCCCATGAAAGGGAACGTCTCAGGTTACTTATGTAACCATGGTTCCCTGAGTAGGGAACGAGACACTGCGTCCTCTAGGTTTTCTCGCCATGCTGCGGACGCAAGCTTCAGACGAAGAAGTGAATGATGTGTGCTCCCGGCGCTTATTTATACTATAGTCGCACCGGTAGTGACGTCATGGCTGTCGCCGGCCAACGAGTTGGTGTTTTTCAATGTATGCTTCAGACACGGGTCACGACGAGGCGTTCCCCATAGCGACCCCTAGAGGACGCAGTTCGAAGTTCCCATGAAAGGGAACGTCTCAGGTTACTTATGTAACCATGGTTCCCTGAGTAGGGAACGAGACACTGCGTCCTCTAGGTTTTCTCGCCATGCTGCGGACGCAAGCTTCAGACGAAGAAGTGAATGATGTGTGCTCCCGGCGCTTATTTATACTATAGTCGCACCGGTAGTGACGTCATGGCTGTCGCCGGCCAACGAGTTGGTGTTTTTCAATGTATGCTTCAGACACGGGTCACGACGAGGCGTTCCCCATAGCGACCCCTAGAGGACGCAGTTCGAAGTTCCCATGAAAGGGAACGTCTCAGGTTACTTATGTAACCATGGTTCCCTGAGTAGGGAACGAGACACTGCGTCCTCTAGGTTTTCTCGCCATGCTGCGGACGCAAGCTTCAGACGAAGAAGTGAATGATGTGTGCTCCCGGCGCTTATTTATACTATAGTCGCACCGGTAGTGACGTCATGGCTGTCGCCGGCCAACGAGTTGGTGTTTTTCAATGTATGCTTCAGACACGGGTCACGACGAGGCGTTCCCCATAGCGACCCCTAGAGGACGCAGTTCGAAGTTCCCATGAAAGGGAACGTCTCAGGTTACTTATGTAACCATGGTTCCCTGAGTAGGGAACGAGACACTGCGTCCTCTAGGTTTTCTCGCCATGCTGCGGACGCAAGCTTCAGACGAAGAAGTGAATGATGTGTGCTCCCGGCGCTTATTTATACTATAGTCGCACCGGTAGTGACGTCATGGCTGTCGCCGGCCAACGAGTTGGTGTTTTTCAATGTATGCTTCAGACACGGGTCACGACGAGGCGTTCCCCATAGCGACCCCTAGAGGACGCAGTTCGAAGTTCCCATGAAAGGGAACGTCTCAGGTTACTTATGTAACCATGGTTCCCTGAGTAGGGAACGAGACACTGCGTCCTCTAGGTTTTCTCGCCATGCTGCGGACGCAAGCTTCAGACGAAGAAGTGAATGATGTGTGCTCCCGGCGCTTATTTATACTATAGTCGCACCGGTAGTGACGTCATGGCTGTCGCCGGCCAACGAGTTGGTGTTTTTCAATGTATGCTTCAGACACGGGTCACGACGAGGCGTTCCCCATAGCGACCCCTAGAGGACGCAGTTCGAAGTTCCCATGAAAGGGAACGTCTCAGGTTACTTATGTAACCATGGTTCCCTGAGTAGGGAACGAGACACTGCGTCCTCTAGGTTTTCTCGCCATGCTGCGGACGCAAGCTTCAGACGAAGAAGTGAATGATGTGTGCTCCCGGCGCTTATTTATACTATAGTCGCACCGGTAGTGACGTCATGGCTGTCGCCGGCCAACGAGTTGGTGTTTTTCAATGTATGCTTCAGACACGGGTCACGACGAGGCGTTCCCCATAGCGACCCCTAGAGGACGCAGTTCGAAGTTCCCATGAAAGGGAACGTCTCAGGTTACTTATGTAACCATGGTTCCCTGAGTAGGGAACGAGACACTGCGTCCTCTAGGTTTTCTCGCCATGCTGCGGACGCAAGCTTCAGACGAAGAAGTGAATGATGTGTGCTCCCGGCGCTTATTTATACTATAGTCGCACCGGTAGTGACGTCATGGCTGTCGCCGGCCAACGAGTTGGTGTTTTTCAATGTATGCTTCAGACACGGGTCACGACGAGGCGTTCCCCATAGCGACCCCTAGAGGACGCAGTTCGAAGTTCCCATGAAAGGGAACGTCTCAGGTTACTTATGTAACCATGGTTCCCTGAGTAGGGAACGAGACACTGCGTCCTCTAGGTTTTCTCGCCATGCTGCGGACGCAAGCTTCAGACGAAGAAGTGAATGATGTGTGCTCCCGGCGCTTATTTATACTATAGTCGCACCGGTAGTGACGTCATGGCTGTCGCCGGCCAACGAGTTGGTGTTTTTCAATGTATGCTTCAGACACGGGTCACGACGAGGCGTTCCCCATAGCGACCCCTAGAGGACGCAGTTCGAAGTTCCCATGAAAGGGAACGTCTCAGGTTACTTATGTAACCATGGTTCCCTGAGTAGGGAACGAGACACTGCGTCCTCTAGGTTTTCTCGCCATGCTGCGGACGCAAGCTTCAGACGAAGAAGTGAATGATGTGTGCTCCCGGCGCTTATTTATACTATAGTCGCACCGGTAGTGACGTCATGGCTGTCGCCGGCCAACGAGTTGGTGTTTTTCAATGTATGCTTCAGACACGGGTCACGACGAGGCGTTCCCCATAGCGACCCCTAGAGGACGCAGTTCGAAGTTCCCATGAAAGGGAACTACAAATACTTTCTACATTAATGTTGAAGCAGTCATAAAAAGATTTACCTTGTTGTTGTTTATTTAGTACCACGGTATCTACTGGAAGATGTTGGACGTGGAAACCTAGATCCTTTCTTGCTCTCTGACTATACACATGGTAAGACAAAGAATTTTATAGTGCAAACTCTCTTCATTACTAAGTTAATTTACTAAGCTAATTTTCATTTTAATAAACTAGCTTGTATTAAAAAAGATATTTTCAACGTAATAACTGCAACTCATTACATGTGTGAGTACTGCATATGAAAAAATTACAGGAAAGTTATACAGTTGTGGTCAAAAGTTTACATACACCTTGCAGAATCTGCAATATGTTAATAGTTTTGACAAAATAAAAGGGAACATAAAAATTTCATGTTTTTTTTCATTTATTTGTTTTTATTTAGTATTGCCCCGAATAAGCTATTTCACTCAACAGATGTTTACATATAGTCCGCAAGACAAAATAATAGCTACATTTATGAAGAAGTTTGCATACTCTTGATTCTTAATACTGTGTGTTGTTATCTGGATGATCCATGACTGTATTTTTGATCATTGTTTATGAGTCCATTGTTTGTTCTGAGCAGTTAAGCTGCCCACTGTTCTTCAGAAAAATCCTCCAGGTACTGCACATTTTCAATTTTCCAGCATCTTCTGCACCCTTTCCAGCAGTGACTGTATGATTGTGAGATCCATCTATTCACACTGAGGGCAACTGAGGGACTCATAAACAATTATTGCAAAAGGCGAAACATTCACTGATGCTCAAGAAGGCAACACAATGCATTAAGAGATGGGGGGGGTGTATTAAAAATCAAGCATTTGAAAACTTTTGATTGGGGTGTAAACATCTGTTATGTGATATTCAGGGCAGTACTAAATAAAAATTAAAATGCATTTCTATTATCCTTGTTATTATTTTAAAATGATTAACATTTAGCAGATTTTTAAAACTGTATGTAAACTTTTGACCACAACTGCCCGTGACTCAGCTATATAACATAACTGCTAGTCATCATGGTTGATGGTCTTGCTGACTGCTGGATCCAATCCCGTCTTCCCCCTTCACAGAAGGGTGGTATACTGGCCCCGGTGTGTCCAGACCACAAAACATTTTCACCAACTCTCTGGAAATCTTTTCCCAAATCCAGGGTATGTTAGATGTGTGGTCTGTTCGCAGAATGTTCAAATGATTTGATGCCATTTTTACTTACTATTATTCATCTTTCTTTTGTATGATCAACTATTTATTCAATTTTAAAATGTACACGTTTTGTTATATGCTACATGTAAATAATCAGTAAATACTTAACACTTAACATGAACTATATACACATGCCAAAGCCTTAGAGAACAAATGAATATGAATATATATTTTTCTTCATGGTTTGCTAACATCAGCAGTCAGCAATGGCCTTCATATACTAAATGTGGTAGTATCTTACTAATAGATTTGTTGTCATCTATATTGTTGATTGTATTGTTCATCCTGGCCTCTCTTTTCCATTTGCCCAAGGTCTTCCAGAGACAGTGGCTTTATACTTTGTTTCTGGTATCTGTGCCGGTCTGTTCTTCTTGCTGTGTTTGTTCGGTCTCAAGTCCACCCTGATTAGAGATCTGAAAGACCTGGCCTCTGAGCTAGGAGATGAGCTCAAGTCCTCCCACAGGACACATGGAGGACTAATAGATGATTTTGATGAAGATGACGCCTCCTTGCGGTCTTCTTTTCGCCACCTCGCACGCCCTTACCGCACACCAGACGTCTTCAACCCAGAGATGATAATGACAGTGGTGATGGAGGAGAGGAAGGATGAAGACAAACCTGAGATGCCCAATGGAGACATCTGGCCTCATATCAACTCCAGCCCTTATGCCATGCACAAAATCAAAACCTCGTCTGCTTAATCTTTATGTTCTCTGCATATCTGACTGTTTTCCCTGTTAAAAGAAACACTAATTATACGATTTAACATGAATGAAGTCCAAGATTAGATTTGAGAATTAGTGATGAGAATTGTGACATTGGTATCAAACCCACCTGCTTATGTTTTCTGAATAGACTGTATGTATGCATTTTCATATTTATATATAATTCAACTTTTTTTTTAAATGACTGGGGGTGGAAGTCTGCGATGTGATTTCTTTGGAGTGCACATTACAAATAAAGGAATAGTGTGCTTATCAAACACAGCCATCCAGGTGGAATTTGGTTTGAATAAAAACATGTAATCTGTTCTGGGTGGAACTGAAATAATAATACACTTGCAATACACACACACACAACATTATGCAACCAAAAGGAGCGCATCAGCTCTATATCCATTTTGAGATTTGAGATTTAGCAACAACTTTATATCCGATTAATATCAGGGCGTTTGACGGAAACTCTACAAAGTCAATATTTAAAGAATGCCGTAACTCATATTGTGTTTACACACAATATGCGAAAAAGTTGAGCATTCATGACGTCCCCGAGCAGTGCATAACACGCCCAGTGATGTTGCTGCGTCCGGGACAGCGCGGTGATGATGACCTCGGAACTCATGACCGGTTATGTTTTGCAACATATTTTTGCCAACGTATTAAACCCGAACATCACTCGAGATATAATTTACCTATTAATGCGACAACACAACTGTCATCAACCGTGATCCCTGTTTAACCCCAAATTTGATATACACGTAACATTAGGCCTATTAGATGGGTGTCGTTTTCTCCGGAGTTCAATGACTCCTCACCGGCTCACAAGCTGACGCGCGTTCTTTTACGTCACTGCTTTTTGGAAGAGCGAGTGTACATTGATTGTTTTTTTCCCCCACCCGTGTTTATTCAAAACCCGTTTTTACTGGCTAAATTATTCCCGAGCGAGCGAGCCGTCTCTCAATCAGCCCGGAAGGCCACGCGAGGTGAGGGGTGGAGCCTGACATGAGAAAACACTCGCGCTGAGTTTAGCCTGTTAGCTAGTTGCCTTGACGGCTTTAATTCAACACATTTAACAACATTCATGATGGAGTCTTCACTCGGGATATCCGATAGCCAGTGTTTGGTCGTATCCTTTGTTTGGGAGCTCGGTTGTTCATTTTGATTTTGTAAAGAGCAGTAGCTGTGTCATTTTGCCGTGTCTAGTTAACCTAGCTGTAATGGTAAACATAACAATTATTTTCGTCTTGTCAGTGTATTAAAGAGGCTGAACCGAATTCAAATGTTGTCATTTGGGTTGCTGTTTTCTCTCTGCTATCTGACATACGTTATACACAAGCGTCTCATGGTAAGCGTTGTTTTATCATACTCTTATATTTCTTAGGAATAACTTGAACATCATTGCGTGACATTGTTGTCACTTGATATGATGTGTCTGTGAGGTATGCCATTATAGATGTTACAGAAACGGTGGCTGTTTATTATGAGAGTAGCGCTTTTAATGCTTTTTAAATATCTTGAAGTAGGATAGGGATTTTCACTAATGTTTTATCACTTACCCATTGGACTTGTATAAAGGCCAACAAGTTCTTTGATTGTGTGAGGGAGGGAGAACGAGAGGGAGCGTGGGAGAGCCACAAGGCGTCACATTTTCCACCCTTTTCCCTTTTCCTCTGCCTCCAGCTATTCAATTGAATCCTTAACAGTGATTTTTCAGACTGTTAGAGGACATGAGCTCAGAAACGGACAAAAAGAACCAAGACTCCTGTCCCTGTTAGAGTGTTCTGGACAGCTCAAGTGAGTAGACTCTCTGTTTGTTTGATCTCAGTTTTCTTTCCACTTGATTCACATGTTTTTGCTGTTATACTAAACAATGATTTTGTGTAAAACAGGATTAGTTAAGGAAAATGAGCATCAGAGCAGCTGTTCAATCAATGTTTGCACTGAACTGCTCATTCTGTCAGGTGGTTCATTGCTACTGCCTGTCTGTGTTATTACATTGATGGGTGTGTTGTCGTTTTTGGCCTTTTGGACATTAGCAACCAAACCCACCAACACATGCCATCTAATTGCTAGCTATCTAATGAGCATCTCTATCTTTAGAATGTTTGTTTTTTACATCCAATGTTTTTTACATTTTACATAAGATATGTCTTACCAGATATATATTTTCCTTTCAATCTGATGTACGTGATTCTTTATCATCCCTAAAACTTCAGCAACTTTCAAAGATGTTAAAGATCGTGAATATGGACCCTTTCACAGACTGTGTGATGAAGAATTTCCACAAAAATGTAATGTGCATTTATAACAGCAGTATTGTTTGAGTTATTTTAGCATAAAAAAAACTTGTGCATAAAAAAAACTAATACAATGGCTGAAAATTTGACATCTTCCTCTGGTCTGAGTCTGACTGCCATAATCAAACTCTTTCTATTTTTTTCCTCTTTTGCAATGTTGTGGAAACACCATTATGGATTTTTTTCTTTTGCTGTTGGAGCAATTTGGAATGCAAAAATCATATATGTTTTAGTCTCTCATTCACTATTGGTTTACCCAACTGTGACAACTTCTGCTTCTGTGAACCCCAGAAATGTGAAATTTGAATGTGAAAGAAATGTGAATTACGTATTGCCCTAACTGCTGGTTGCTATAGCCTAGATGTCAGAAGACTCTGTGAAAGATTGTGTAATGAGGCATTGTGGCTTTCGTTGTGTGTTTGGTGGATGCCAGCATGCTGCCCATTATTCTGCATTCCACCTCGGTGTCCTAGAGCCTAATAAGCCTCACATGAGCACACAAACTCTTTAACTGCATTAAAACTGTACACACTCCGCTTTACTCAAAGCTCAAGAACTGACTGGGTAAAAGAGGTCACAAATGTTATTTTTTGAATCCATGTGTAATGAAAAGGATCTCATAACAATAAGAACAAAGTACACAGTTGATATTTCAGACGTGCATGAGGAAGTGTACATTGACTGTGACACATTAGGCATTAGATGTAAACGTATGCATTGAAACCTTTTATGCAAATTACTTCTGTAGGTAGCATTCGTGCCTTACAAAACTCTTGGATTATGGGAAATCAGTTAGAGCAGTGGTTCCCAATCCTGATTCTTGAGAACCCCCAACACTGCACATTGTAGATGTCTCCCTAATCAAACACACCTCATGTGTGTCAGATAAGATGTTGGGGTTGTGGTTCTCCAGGATCAGGATTGGGAACCACTGAGTTAGAACAGCAAATTAAGTATTTAAAGTGATAGTTTACCTAAAAATCAAATAATTTAGGCATTTATTCATATATAAACATTGATCATCGCGCATACATAGAGCACAAAAATACAGTCAACGGCAGCTCAACCGTACTTGATTGACGTGCAAGAACAAATTTCATTGGTTATTGAGGAAACTCAAACATGCTTGCGTGACACGCAAGAACAAACCTCACTGGTTCAAGTACACTCAAGCTTTCCTTTACCATATTTGATTAGCTCTATTTATGTACTTTGATCAGTGTTTAAATGTTAATAATACCAAAATTATATCTGTTATAATCTTATAAAGCAATTGTGTCTCTTCAGAAGACACGAATGAAACCACTCAATTCATATGGATTACTTTTATTATCAATTTGTGAACTTTTTGAACCTTCAAAGTTATGGTGGAATGGACCTTTAGTAGAGGGACAGAAATCTCTCATGTTTCTTACAAGTTTGAGTTTTATAGATGAACAAAAGTCTTATGGGTTTGCAACAACATGAGGGTGAGTGGATGAGGACAGCATTTTCATTTTTGGGTGAACTGTCCCCTTAACCTGAATTGCTAGAGCATCTTTGTATAGATCACTGAAGGTGTAACCAGCTAATAAAAGTATATTATGTTTCATTTAGCTGGACAGACCTTTGAGGTGAATGGGGAGTGCTTGAACTGCATAACCATTTTGAGCTGTCTAGTTAATAAAACGTTAATGTGGCAGCATGTGCCACAGTTTAACCTCAAAGAATTAGGAAATATTTTTGGCATGAGCAGATTATAACCATCATTGCTACACTGGGCTATTATTTGTATTGATTGAATGTGAGATTTCTTAGTAAGTCTAGGCCAAATTTCCCTTGTTCATGAGTGCTGCGTTTCCTGGCAACAGCATCCATTACAGCAATTATCGTCTTCTGAGACTGAATGAGAGGGGCTCACTGGCAGCACAGAGTGGTTCTAGTCTTGCCTGCATGCGCTTGCATAGCACACTCAGGCAGTGAAATCTGAAGGTTTTTCCAATAATCCACTGTAATTGAATTTCCCATGGAGTGAAATGGAGGTAAGACCATGTTGAGAGGAACCTGATGCCCTGGAGTTGGCACTGTTATTGTCAGAGAGTGAAATATGGTCTGCGATTTGCTCTCCAATACGCATTTAGCCTGCTGCATTTCCATAAGCTTCCCTCCACCCTCTACATTCTGAAGATACATTTTTGATGAGATAAGATTATGCTGGACCATAGTGGAAATATGAGAGATGCAATACCATTCAAAAGTTTGAGGTCAGTAAGATTTGACAATGTCTCTTGTGCACACCAAGACTGCATTTATTTGATCACAAATACAGTAAAAACAGCAACCTTGTGAAATATTCTTACAATTAAAAATAACAATTTTCTATTGTAATATATTTTAAAATGTATTCTTTTGATCACAAAGCTGACTTTTCTGCAGCCATTACTCCAGTCTTCGGTGTCGCATGATCCTTCAGAAATCATTCTAATATGCTATGATTTGCTGCTCAAGAAACATTTGCTTTTATTATTAATGTTAAAAACAGTTGTGCTGCTTAATATTTTTGTTGAAACCTGGATGTAGTTTTTTTTTTCAGAATTGTTTGATGAATAGAAGCAACCTTGTGAAATATTCTTACAATTAAAAATAACAATTTTCTATTGTAATATATTTTAAAATGTATTCTTTTGATCACAAAGCTGACTTTTCTGCAGCCATTACTCCAGTCTTCGGTGTCGCATGATCCTTCAGAAATCATTCTAATATGCTATGATTTGCTGCTCAAGAAACATTTGCTTTTATTATTAATGTTAAAAACAGTTGTGCTGCATAATATTTTTGTTGAAACCTGGATGTAGTTTTTTTTTTCAGAATTCTTTGATGAATAGAAAGTTCAAAAGAACAGCCATTTATATGAAATGGAAATCTTTTGATACATTATAAATATCTTGTAGCATTATAATGTCTTATCCATGTCACTTTTGTTTTGATTAATCTCCTTGATGAATAAAAGTATTCACTTCTTTAAAAAATTAAATCGTACTGACCCTAAACTGTTAAATGATACTCTACAGTGTACTGCATGCTAAACGTATAAAGTGAGCAAAAG